AGACCATTAGAAATCCCGGGAGGGGGGTATAAAATTTTTGCGGTGCGAATTTTTTTTTCAGTCTCGTGTCTCTGCAGGATTTTTTTTTTAATGCATTTAACCTCTGCACGAATTTTTTTCAAGACTATTTGTACTTTGCTGTTTGCTTGCACAATTTTTTTTTCTCTGATGTAATGGCTGCACAAATTTTTTTCTAGGCATTTTTCTTTGCACAAATTTTTTTTTTAATTTTCACCCCCCACTAGTGATGGCCGATACCGAGTACTCGGTATTCGCTACCAGCGATAGCACAAACAGCGGTATCAGTATCGATTACTGACGTGGTATCGTTCGATACTTGCACCCTTTTTAAACGATTTGTTTAATTTCACTTCTTTGTTGAATAAGACTTAATGAACCACTAAAATAACTCTTAATATTCCAAATGTGGAGCGCCAAGTCATGTATAGAAAATATTTATTAATTATGTTTCGAGCTTTTGGTTTACTTATAGCTTTATTTAGGTTACATACAGTAATGTAAAATGTTTTTCCGCTGACCGGCAGGTATCGAAAGTAGCCGATACTAGCAGTTTAAGTACTCACTTCCGGTATCGAAAATTGAAATTTTGTGTTTATTTTGGTATCGAAATAGGTATCGGTATCGGCCGATACCGATCTTAAAAGTATCGGTATCGAATTAAAAATCCTGGTATCGCAAATCACTACCCCCCACCCCACTCCCGGGATTTCTAATGGTCCGCCCCTTAGTCAGTGATGGGTATATTCCGATTGTGTCCCAACCAGTCAATCACTATCATTCTGATTCACTTACCAGTTCTTGAAAAGCTTCACGTTTCAGTACGGGCAAGTTGCCTTCCAAGGAGAGAAGATTCCTACAGACATCTTCAAAACTTGCTTTCCACTCTTGAGACGTTCTCACAGGAAGACTTAGAAATGATTCTAAACAAAACATGTCAGATTGTTGATTCAGAAATGCTGTCTCAATCACGAAAGAATTTCTTAAATATTAATCTTAGAGCTGCTCCCGATTAATCGATCAATCGATTATTTTTCCACAATCGATTATGCTTAACAGTAATCGAATCATCTATAACACCACGCAGCGTGATGCGCAATGAGTTAATTACGAGTGCTGTGAAAATATCTTTAAAGTTTTTTACTAGAAGAATTTATTACCATTTGCGTCCAACAGTGCGACGTGCGGACATAAACCAATTATCCATAAGAGTCTGAGTCTCGTGAATTTAGTAAAGTTTAATTACAATTTACGAACCAGTCAAACCGCCATGGGCTTGTCATATTTAAATTAATTATCAATGCGATTATTCGATATTAATCGATTATTGACAACAATTAATCGATTACGAAAATTAACCGATGGGAGCAGCTCTAATTAATCTATTTATCTATGTTTTAAAAATCAACCAACCTGGGCATGGCGTTTCTTTCCAAGGACAGAATTTAGAATGTCCATTTATAATACTTGATCTCAGCTTTGTACATGTTGAATTATCTATTATTGGAAAAAAAATGCACAGTTTAATTCTATATATTAACCCATTGAGTTGCATTGCACCCTGATGCACTCTACTTTTGAATTAGTATTTCACTCTGTCTAACGCCAGACGATTTTACTCGTCAAGGGGAGAGCGCTGGCGCTTAATAGGTTAACTGGCCTATCTGACCATGTGTCTAGTTAAACCATTGAGTTGCATTGCGCCCTGATGCACCCTACTTTAGTATTTTACTCTGTCCAACGCCAGACGATTTACTCATCAAGGGGAGAGCGCTGGCGCTTAATGGGTTAAAATTTGTGATTTGCAAAACAAATACATCAGACTATGTAATATGTAGCTAAAGAATTATAAATCAATCTCAGACCATTATGCCAGACTGTACCATAATTCCAATATATACTGTCTGTACAACCAACAATCATGAACTAGTGGTTGACCGATAATCGGTATCAGGTGGATCGTGCCATGAATACTCGGTAATACTCGGACAATATCTGACTATTATTAACCCATTAAGTTACATTGAGTCCTAATGCATCATACTTTAATAATTTTACTCTCAGACTGTCTTAAACACCAGACAATTTTACTCGTCAAGGAGAGAGTGCTGCCGCTCAATGTGTTAATCAGACTATCTGCCCATGTGTCTAGTTAACCCATTAAGTAGCATTGCACACCAATGCACCCTACTTTCTCATTTCACTCTGTTTAACGCCAGATGATTTTACTCGTCAAGTGGAGAGCACTGGTCTTCAATGGGACTTAAGCACTGAAGCATAAACCAAGCACATTCAATATACTCACATGTGTCAGTGTCCCATTCTGTCCCAATCATACCATCAAGTGTAGCTTTGCATGAGACACATGTTAGCAGATCAACATCTCTATTCTCCCAACCATACAATGCACAATGCTGAGGTGATAAATATAGTGGCTTCATTGGCCAGGTAAATGGTTGACAAATGTTAAAGAAATGTTTTTTGATGATAAACTAACTTTATTCAAACTGGATAGCTCTATCAGTTCTAAACTGTTCTTCCTAGAGGTCCAGTAAAAATCATGATCTCTTATTGATCCAGTGATACGACAGGAGGAAACCTAAACTAAACTAACTTTATTTATACTGGATAGCTCTATCAGTTCTGAACTGTTCTTCCTAGAGGTCCAGTAAGGATCATCTCTTATTGATCCAGTGCTACTATAGGAGGAAACCTAAACTAAACTAACTTTATTTATACTGGATAACTCTATCAGTTCTGAACTGTTCTTCCTAGAGGTCCAGTAAGGATCATCTCTTATTGATCCAGTGCTACTATAGGAGGAAACCTAAACTAAACTAACTTTATTTATTCTGGATAGCTCTATCAGTTCTAAACTGTCCTCCCTAGAGGTCCAGTAAGGGTCTATTAAAGGATATAGAAAATGTTTCAACTCTATCATAAAAATTCTCCCTATTTCTCGGCTGACATAGCATCGATAAAGGGCCTGGATTTTCTGCAATATCTCGTTCAGTATTTCTAAATCACAGAAACACAATATTTATTAGCATGTTGCCTCTTATGTGAGGCAATAGGGTAATTGCACATTATGTCATGGCAGGCATGACATTTCTATAACACATTTCATGACACCATGTTCCTAAATTTGGAATATTGGTCGCCTTGAAAAGTGATCTGAAATCAACAATAATTCCCAAAAGATTGGCTACAAGCACCTATGAATCCCTCCCCCCCCCCACCAATCAAGATATTTTATGGGCCTTTGTTGCTTTGGGAGCACTTCTTCAGCGGGGGGGGGGGGGTGGTGGTAAAGTACCCCCTCTCTGCAGACTTCCCGCTCCCCTCCCCCACAAGTGTCTGCCATGATAGTGTAAGCTTTTCTCTGTATATAGGGTGTCCCCCAAAAAATAAAAACCTTTGGAAATCAATCCTTTGTTGGAATTTGAATGTCTTATTACTACGGTATGCTTTTTCAGACCCACAGGTGCATAAACACAATTGAATCAAATTTTATGCATGCACTTTGAGCATATAATTTGACGTAATTATTGAAAGGGTGTATTTGATCATTTTTGTGTAGTCGCACTTCTTTTATAAGATTAGAAGCTATTTTAAATTCCCAATAGTAGAAAATGTTGTACTTAACAAGAATTGAGTTATTCATTCAGGTTTTCAATACACGCTGTATTTCACGCTTCCGTAGGTTCAAATGCTCAGGCATTCAAACTATTTACAATCGGAACGTTTCAAAAGGTATGCTTTAATGCTTTTTTTCGGCACACCCAGTATATTTACGTAACCTACCAGGGACGAAACGCATTTTTAAAAGATATGAGAATCGCTACATTAGGTCAATTGGCTTAGATCTAATAAGCTTATCATTATATTGCCAATTCTTTATATTATAGTAATTATACAAGTATACAACATACCAAACCCAAATATAAAGAAGAAATAAGTATTAAAAATTTCACTACCAATTATTGTTCGGAAAAGAAGAGACAGTAGAATAAATATACTCTAATATACCACACACCTTTCTTTAGAGATCTCATCTTTTTCGTGCATAAAACTTGAGAGAATTGCTTGAATTTTGTTACGAGTACTTGAAAAAGACGCCATCTTGGAAATAGCGAGCCCGAGACTGGGCCGACCTAGCCTGCGAACAGGCGTTTTTTCAGGTGGGCCTGGTAATACCATTTTGACATACCATCCAAGTTGAATGGTTATGCCTTTGAATATTATCAGCATAACCATCCAACTTGGAAAATATCCCAAGGCATTACCATCCAAGTTGAATGGTTATGCTGATAATATTCAAGACCATTCAAAGGCATAACCATCCAAGTTGAATGGTTATGCTGATAATATTCAAGACCATTCAAAGGTATAACCATCCAAGTTGCAAGGGTGGGTAGTAGCGAAGTAGTTGTAGTTCGCTACTGTAGCGAACTACAATTTTAAAGTAGCCAATAGTTTTTGACTACTTTTTTAAAACAGTAGTTGTAGTTATAGCGAACTACATTTTGCCTAAAAGTAGCCAAGTAGTTGACTACTTTTCAAATAGCAAATCGCTATTCGCTACTTTTTAAAATTGTTAGCAACCGTTCATATAGAATAGAATGATATTAAGACACGGTTTGCTTAAAAGATTATTTTACACAGTAAAGATTATTTTAGCGCAATGAAAAGTGGCACTCCTAAATACTGTAGTGCTTACAAATTAAAATGTTGCTTTAGCTTGCTTTGACCCTTCTTGTTTACTGTAGCTACTCGTAAGTCGATTTGTTATAGGTTATATTACAGCCTGAGCTAGTGGATGCTCCAAATACCGTAAAACTAGAGAATATAGAGTAGCGAAATAGCGAAATAGTTCGCTACATTTTTAAAGCAGTAGCTGTAGTCAGTAGCGAACTACCTTTGTTCAAAA